CTGTGTGTGTGTGTGTGTGTGTGTGTGTGTTGTCGCGGCGCGTGAGTGTGTGTGTGTGCGTGTGCGTGTGCGTGCGTGTATGTGTGCGTGTGTGTGCGCGCGTGGGTGTGTGTGTGCGTGCGTGCGTGTGCGGTATACACGTACCTGCCAGAGCACGAGGATGAGCAATGCTAGCAGGAGAATTCCTGCCACCACAGCCAGGATAATGATCCAGAGAGGCACAGCCTTCGCTATTACCTCCGGATGTTCCGGGTTCACTGCTGTTTTCACCTGCACAACAAGCGATGACGTCACGTAAATATGCGTAATTGACAGTCGAGTGTGATAGTCACTGTTTTTTCTCTCTCGCGCACGCTTGCTTTCTTTCTCTCTCTCTCTCTCTCTCTATCTCTCTTTCTCTCTTGCTCGTCTCTGCTCTCTCTCTCTTCTCTCTCTCTCTCTCTCTCTCTCATCTCTCGCTCTCTCTCTCTCTCTCCTCTCTCTCTCTCTCTGTGCGTCGTGCTGTCTCTACTCTCTGCGTTCGTGGCTGCGTTCGGGTGCTCTGCTCTCTCTCTCTCGCCTCTCTTCGCCTCTCTCTCTCTTTTCTTCATCCTTCTCTCTCGCCTCCTCTCTCTCTCTCTCTGCTTTTTCTCTCTCATTTTTCTCCTCCTCTCTCTCTCTCTCTCTCTCTCTCTCTTTCTCACTCTTCTGCTTTCTCTCTCTCCTTCTTTCTTTCTCTGCTCATCGCCTTCTCTCGCTGCTGGTTGCGTGTTGCTGTGTCTCGCGAGGCGCCCTCTCTCTGTTCTTTCACTCCCCTGCTTTCGTATTCCTTACTGTAGATCTTTCGTGGTGAGCTCAGGTCGGCTCGGCGGTGCGGGTGTACAGTATAAGGCAGCCTCTCGTGACGTGGCTATACCACGTGACGATTAATCGTCACCTCGTCAAGCTTTCTCCTGCAACATACAGATGGCGCCACACCGTAACACGCGCGTGGGAGTCCTTGTGTCAAACCCTGAAATGTGACTACGAAATAAATTTACTTAGAGTTCCCTACAGCAACATAATGCGACTTGATATCAAGTTGAGACGAAAAGTTCTACATTGGTTTTCTAATGCCATCTTATTTGAAACATGCGATTTGGAGGAGACGGGCTTAGTGATATCAGCATTGCTATAAACTGTGCTGGAGAAACGCTGCCTTGATAACTGGAAGTGCCGAAGAGTTATTGTGGTTGGCGTACGTGCACTACATGCTGAGAGGTCTATGTCCCCAGGTGGTACTGGCCGAACGTACCTGGGTTACGGTCCGGTATAGCGGAACGTTACCTGGTACGTAGTCATAATATCCGCGACCGTACCTCGCCTACTCCACTAACGAGTGCTGGGAGCTCGCCGTTTACGGCCTACTCCCGAACCCTAAACCCTAACCATATACAGATAGTTACCAGGTACGTTCGCGTTTACCTCGAACCCGTACCAAGGTACGTTCCGGCCATGAGTACTTGGCAGACATAGACCTCTCAGTGCGACTACTGGTTAAGTCTGACCGACCACGACGCGCGTATTCAGAGGAAGGTGGTGAATTTTTTTACTTTAGGCATTAGATTAGCAGAAGATTAGAATGAGTGGAAGAACTCTAGCTAGTTACTACGGCCCAAGATAGTTGGCTTCCGTCTTCAAAGCGTCGCACCCAGCGCAGTACTCATGGGTAGTTTGAATGTATGCGGAGAGATGCACATATATATATATATATATATATATATATATATATATATATATAATATACGTTAGTATATAGTATCATGATCATGTGACACATTGTGTGCTGTTATCATCATCATTATCACCATTATTATATTATTAATACTACTACTATTATTATTATTATTATTATTGTTATACGCACGGCGACCAGTGTTTCCAGCCAGAGACGTGATCTGACGAAGATGACGACATATTCCGTCGGCTCGAGCTGGCCCGTAGAACACGTGATCATAGCGCATTCCTTGTTCTCACATTTCTGCAATGTCGGCACGACAGAAGGAAATAAAACGTTAGGCTTCTAATGAAAAAAATTCGCGAGAAAATGATGATAGAATATGAAAGTTGTAATAATGTGTAGAATGCGCAAAGAATTATTGCGTTGCTTGCAAGCAATGTACAAAATCTTGACCATAACCACAACCTCAACTCTAACTCTAACCCTAACCTTAACCTTAGTCCTAACCGTAACCCTTGCCCTTGCATTTATTCTAACGCTAAGTCTAATAATAACCTAACCCTAAATCCAACCCTAAACCCAACCCTAACCCTAACTCTAACCCTAACCCTAACCCTAACCCCAACCCTAACCCTAACCCTAACCCTAACTCTAACCCTAACCCTAACCCTAACCCTAACAGTAACCCTAATCGTAACCCCAACCCCCAAACCGATTTTAATTAATAAATTTTAATTATAACCCCGTCTGCAACTTTTTAAGTAAACAGTGCCATGTAATGTCCACGTGAATCTAGTGAAAATCTAGCGAAATGTATGTGAACGCATGCACGCAGAAGAAAGGACAGGATACGCTTTTCCAGATTGAAAAACGCAAAATCTCAGCGTCGCAAAGAAATTAACGTAGAACGTTTATATCGGCATGCTACTCACCGTTATGTTTTCTAGGACATCTGTACCTTGCTTTTGCACGCATGTGTAATACATCGTTATTGTTAATACGTTTCCATTGCTAATTTTAATAAGTTAATAATTAGTATTCGTAATAATTATTCTCGCAGCATCCCTATTTGTACCGCATTTCACCGAATCATTCACAGCATCCCTCTCTTAGCAATTCTCATAGCATTCCTCCCTCACAGCATCCCTCCTGCAGCATCCCACACGCCTCACTGAATCCCTTGCAGGGCTTCACTCACCAGCCTCCCCTCCAGCTCGTCGACATGCAGCAGCCTCTCCTCGCTCGTCGCCCGCTTCACCTTCACTGAGTGCTTCTCTTCCACTGTGTTCAGCGAGGAGGAGGAGGAGGGGGAGGAGGTTTTCCCCTCGGTCGTCTCCGACCGGTTTCTCCTGATCAGCTCCTCTATTGTTTTAGTCTTTTCGAGCGCCTGTGCGAGTAAAGGTGTGCGGTGTTGGGTGTTAATCACGGACAGGTGCAAATTAATGCAGGTATGTGACAGGTGGACTCGTGGGAGAGAAATATATACAGGTGGGTATGGAAGAGGATACAGGGGAATATTGGTAGAGAGAAACAGGTGATTATGGGGAGAGTATAGCTGAGTATGGGAAGGGATACAGGTGGGTGTGGGAAAGGACATAGGAAGGCTTTTGGAACAAAGACACAGGTGGGTTGGGGAGGGGGTCTAAACCCAAAACCTTAACCCTAAATCCCAAACTCAAAAACCCCTAAAACCTCAACAAACCCACCACGGACAACAATAACAACGACAACATAACAAACATAAAACCTCTAACTAACCTAATAATCTTCTAAAAACCTCTAACTAACCTAATAATCTTCTAAAAATAAAAACTATTATATATATCTAAAAATCTCTAACTAACTAACCTAAAATTTTTTTAACTAAATAACTAACTAATCACTCCTGCGCAAGATGGCGGCGGGTTTGACATTGACTGACCTTGACACGCGCAGGGTTGACGTTATTGGCCTGACACGACCCCGTGCCGTCGCCACCCACGACGATAGGCGTCGCTATGAGGTAGAGTAGATGTCCCTTCAGTTTTGTGAAGCTTGGCCAGAGTATCTTAACCTCGCCTTGAGAGATGAGACTGTTACCAATGTTCTGCACCTAGAATTGAGAAGAAATTCATACGGTTGATATTTAGTGTAATCACATTATACGTATACAGTTTTCTTCTCTTCCTTCTCCCTCTCTTTTTTTTCTTCTTCGTTCTTTGCTTTATTCGTTTTTTTTTTCTTTTTCTGCTGCTGCTTTTTTTATTTTCCTCTTTCTCTCCAATTTCTATTCTTCTTCGATTCCCTTCTTGTTCTTGTTCTTCTTCCTTCCTTGTTTTACAGTATTATTAGATAGTTATAGCCAAATATTCATATCAATTCATATCAATGTCTAACATCCTGTGAAACTGGTGACGTAGTACTAACTGCCATTTCTTCGGGAATAAATGGTAGGCTGATATTAATTATTCCCGATTTGATAACAAACACATTTTTGATTATATCTAGCTGTATATGGGCCTACCTCGTAGACGTGCGTTATCTCTGGACCAATCTCCTCCTCGGTAGTTGGCGCCACCGTCATCTCGTAGTCAGACGGGAAGATCACTTGTTCGGGTTCGGAAATTCTGAGCAGAAATTAATCGATATTCACGATCGGTATTATAAAATCAGATAGTAAGCGCAAAAAGCTCGACCAAAAGTAAAGCTATCTATCGATCAATCTATAAATATTGATTGGAGCGTTCTAAAAACGCTGCTTAGTAAGGAAGTGCCGCAAAGTCGACACGTTTGCACGGAAGCAAAGAACGGAGAAAGACACGCAAAAACTGGTATATATCTCAGCACGGTGACATAAATAATAGGGGGCAGCTGCCCCTCTTGCTCCCCCCGCAGGCTACGGCCCTGATA